GTGTCCAGCATGATCCAGTCTAAGCTGTGCCAGATGCCAAGCTGGAAAGAAATCCGGATTCCAGGAACTCAAACTCTACATCTTGAGGCTCCTCCATGAATCAGACATCACGGCCACAGATGCGCTTGTGTCGCCTCTTCGGCATGTTCTAATACCCGAAGGCTGAAAAAGCATGCGTGCAAAGCACGCCTTGGGTACTATTAAAGACCCCATACAGTAACTGTCTATAATAGGGCTACTACTAAGGCCCTAAAAGCCTCTATGAATATTGTAGTTATTATAGTACCCAAAGCATGCCCACTGTTCCGAGACGAGCATCAGCATGATAACCCCCATGGAGGGTGCGAAGAGCTCAGCGACCTCAAGGGAGAGATCCACTGAGAACAAAAAGGCTCAGAAAAGCTACTAGAGGGGCCTTCATACTTCCAATACTTTTTTGGGGGGTCCTTAAAAGGGGTCTTTCAGGGCTACTATAAGGGCTATTATATGGATTTAGTATAGGGGCCTAAATAATTACCAAGACTATGTTGGAGGTTCCTTGTTCACAAAATACAGTAATTATAGTGGACCCCAAAACCCAAAAACCTATTCTAAATATTAACGATTACTGTGGGCCTGGCTGCTTTTGGGCACTACTTAGTTCCGCTTCGCGATTCACGACGCTAGGTAGAAGAGTTGTTTAGTTCTGCTTCGTGAATCAGCACGCTAGGTAGAAGAGTTGCTTGTGCTTGGGGCTGCAGGGTTCTCACACAGCACCACAGCTTCCCGACATCGGCAAGCACGTGCAGTTCTAAGCATCACATCACGACCACGCAGCACATCCCCTCAAATACTTGAAATTCAGAACTCAACCTCGAAACCTTGAGACCCAAGTCCACGGACGCCTGGCCAAAGAAAAGAACGAGTCCAACTGCGCTGGCCCTGAGAATCAGGTTACATATAGTTCTGGCCGGCTTCCACTGGAAAGGGCATGCTTTCCGTTTCTCAGATGGGTAGAGTCTCGTACCTAAAGGGGTGGTTCTCGTTCCCATATGCACAGACGGTGTGGGAGGGATCACCGGTTCTGACGCACGAAGGATTGCGATGTCTTCCGTCTGACCTACTACTTGTCGAGATGCATGAAAGCTGGTGAGTTCTACAAGCACGAACACTCTGTTCTATCGTCGCATCTTCACTTACATGAAAGATTGGTCACGAGGCGACCCTTGGCATCGGCAATGTGATTCGAAAATCATGAGTGTATATAACCATAGTATGCGAAGTCATGGGGTTCTGCATTACATGCATGATGATGTTATGGCGAAGATGAAGATCGAGCTTGTATGGTGGTCGATGATGAAGAGACGACCACAGAGCTGGTAATTGTTGAAGTTCTAGGGGACAGCCGACGCCTCGAGGATGTCGGGAACCGCTCGCACGCAAACACCTTTTCGGAGCAGAGGGATAATCGGGAGGCTCACGCGTATGAACGAATGTATGTATGTACGTATGTATGTATGTATAAACATGCCTTTCTCTCTCTCTCTCTCTCTCTCTCTCTCTCTCTCTCTCTCTCTCTCTCTCTTTCTCTGTATATATATATATACATATATATCTGTGTGTGTGTTTGTGTATGCGTATATATGTATGCATGCATGCATGGGTGCGCAGATGCACAGATGCACGGATGCACGCATGCATGCGTGCACGCATGCATGTATGCATGCATGTATGTATTTACATAGGTACAGATCTATATATATATATATATATATATATATGTACGCATGTTTGTATGTATACATATGTACATGTATATACATATACATGTATATATGCAGAAGAGGAGGCTGTGGGGCCTGCGTTTTGGCAACCCACTATTTTCAGTGGTTTTGAATTGTTCGAGTGGTTTTGTATGTTTCGAGTGATTGCACGTGGGGTTCTCTGAACTGTGTACTCGTGTGTACCTGTATGTTGTTGCTTTGGATGGTTTATGACATCAAATATGAGTTGCTGTGCAAGTTGTGCAACACGAGGTCTGTTTATAAACACCGGGTTTGTTTATAAACATGTCGCCTCGTCACAATCATATGCCTCCTCTTCAGAACTGATGTTGTATATGTTTATAAACAGCTAGCCTGCCAAACATGTAGATATGTATGTGTTTTTTAAACGCCGGTCTAGAGGGAGGGGGGGGGGGGCGGGGGAGTGTTTTGTACATATTCAAAGACTTACCACCCCCCCCCGCCCCTCTCTCTGGCATGGCTTGGTTAGCATCTTCCCTTTAGGATTCGAAGATTGCCCTCCCCCTCCCCTCTCCCCCAAAAGCAAAGCCAACGCCGCCCTGCACACTGCTCCCCCCGTCACTAGCATTTTTTTAAATCACTAACTCCAACCAACCAGTTCACAAACCTCACCGTACTGCAAGTCTTACACACTGACACACTGATACGTTAACTGGATTTTGCCACGTACCGGTTCGTGTGGAATAGACCAAGACCTTGTTTGATTGAGAAAACTATGAAACCCCTGGTATTTACGGTGTTTCTGCGTATGGGAAACACAATGTTATGTGGTTGGTTTTTGATAAACACCTGGCCTTGTTTATAAACAACAGAGCTGTCCATATAAACACAGGGTTCACTTCTTTGGAATATTGTACACATATGCGTATACCTGTCTTCCCGTGTAAACACAAGTGTTGTTGCTACAAGCCCAGAGGTCCAATCTTTGCCACCTTTATAACCTTTGAGGACCCGAAGGATATGAAAGGATTGATTGTATATCAAACCAACAGAATTTCTGATACAGGTATTTGTGGAGATGAAGGCCATGCAAGATCATGCAAAGGCCTGGACCACGACGGTTCGTACAGCTTTATCATTCCCCAGGCGAGGCTTCAGTGCGAGCGGCCCCATAAAACCAACTGTCCGGCTTCAGAATTCATATTGATCCAGATGCTCGCTATTTTGGATTGTAGACTGTGGGTAACCAAAGCGATAGTACCTACAGCAGCCAGCAGGACATGAACAAGCGCAAACAGGATTTGAGTCATCTTCGACAAGTAGCAGACTTGCTAACCACAGGCAGCTTTTCATTATTCCTTGGTTCCTTGAAAGTCACACACGCTAATACATAGCTTGAATTCACTCATACTTGTTGACATGCCATAACATATTTAAAGCACTGACCTAACCACTTATTTCGAATCCTGTGCACTTTTCCAAATAAGTACGCTAATTCAATACCTACAGGTTCTCCAACAACCGAACAGTGCATGCCAAAGCAGATGATGCAATGGTTCTGGTGTTGGGTGGATTGGCTTGATAGAATGAAGAGTCTTGCAGGGATGAGATAAAGGCTCCGTGTCGCACGTGTCGAGTCTATGTGGCCTGCCCTAAGACTTGGTTTGATAAAGTGCAGAATACACGGTATTTACGGTGTTTCCTGCCTGTGATAGTTGTTGTGGGAAGAAGATTGAATACGTAGCCACTCAATGCCTACATGTCGTACCCGTTGACGTCTGATTATACACAGGCTAAGCCTGACTCTGACTACATTACTCAGGAAAAGAAATGTACGGGACTTTGTGGTGTAATGCTGCGTGTACCTTTCAAGTGCTTGAAGTTGTTTGAATGTAAATATGATACAAAAAAGTGGTCTGCAAAAACCCAGGCCCCACAGCAACCTGCTCTCTCTCTCTCTCTCTCTCTCTCTGTCTCTCTCTCTCTATATATATATACATGTGTGTATACATATATAGAGCGAGGATACATATATTTATATAAAAAATATATATATATAGAGAGAGAGAGAGAGAAAAAAAAAAGAGAGGAGATAGAGATAGAGAGATAGCGTAGAGATAGGGCGAGAGAGAGAGAGAGAGCGAGAGAGACACGGAGAGAGAGATAGTGCCTGTAGAAGCATGAATCGCGCTGGTAGCGCACCATCGCCGGCCGAAAGTATCCCCAGATCCAACTGGAACGTGCGCATCTGTATGGATCGACAGCGCGGACGAAGCTCCACTGAAGTCAGGTGTGCAGTCTGGAGAAAACTTGGGCACATGTGTGTGATTCTGCGATCTTCACACCAGCATCTCTTGAAATGTAGCAAGCTTCGTGGCTTGGAGTTTGAAACAGAAGCCAAGACCCCCACGAGAAGAAAGTTGGCCGCCGCAGCATTCGCAACAAGTGCCAGCCCGAAGAGCGGTCCAGCGGTCACCCACCTCGCTTTTTCTTCTTACCGTTGGTTAGTGAGGAATGGGGTATAATTATCGCTACTATTACTACCATTCTTCCATTCCCTACTAACCAACGGTAAGTCTTCGGGCTGTGACTGCACCTGTGCTTCCTGTGGTTGGTTCTGCTGCATGCCTCATCTGTCAACATACTATCCGCTGAGGAGATCTACTCCTCATCGGCGCGCAAAGGTGCTTATGCCAGGGCCCCTGCATAGCTGGCTTCGCCTGCCTTTAAGTCCGACTACTGAAAACCTGCAATCTTGAATCTGGGCCGCAGACATCCGCAAAACCCCAAGGCCAAAATCCTGGGTTCCAAATCAGGGAGACATGAGCCAGCCACAGATGTCGGCGCTCTGCCAGCGTGGCCGCGATGGCAAGCACGGCCGCTGCACACAGCGCCCCACGCACCAAGAGCCGTCGGGTGAGGGCCTTGACTTCGAGTGGGTTTGAGCTCAAATCGGACAACGATCCAGGCAGGGCGTTGGCCTGTTGGCTTATTTCGGCTAACCAAATCCGAAACCCTGCCGTGTCGGCATTCTAATCGTAATGTTTGGGGCTTGACAAGGGTTTCGTGTTTAAATTGATATACAGTGTCTATAGTTGCTAAGTCGCGAGGCTTAGTGCTTAGGAACAGGATCTTGGGAACCCGTTCACGGCCGATCGCAGAAGGTTTGCACCAGTTTTGCCACTTTGGTGGAGAGACCTGACCTTGACACGCAGCCGTCTACTTCTAGCCTCTAGAGGCATGAATCGTAGCTGCTCCTGCAGTGTAAGAATGCTCCTACCCGGTAACCTGTTTGTGCAGCGAAGCCACAAACGAAATTGCAGCACAGATGACGATGCCGCAGATCTCCAGCCTCGTTTTACCACGAAGGTAGGCCGCAGACATGCATTGTGTTTGAACACTGGCTCTGGCGGCAGTGACGTGACACCTTTCTATGGTGAAGGCTTTCTTGGGTTGTGGGGTGTTTATCTACTTTCGTGCTCGATGCGCCTATAAACTAATCCATGACTCCAGACCGTTCTCCAAGCGAAGGGTCCAGATGAGTAGATATGCAGAGGTATCTCGGCGGTCCAGCCGGCCGGGCAATAGCAGCTCAATAGAAATCGCATACCTCTATCCTCATCGTCATCCACCAGCAGTCGTTTGGCTTTCGGTTCCTTTTGACGACAGGGTGCATGTAGCCCTGGGCTGCCACCATCACCAAGTGTCGGTCCAAGCCAGGCGATGCATGCGGCTGGGGGCTCTCTGCCTGATGTACGCATGCAGAAACATGATTGATGCAGCCTGTCACTGTCACAGCACGACGGCCACGATGCTTGTTCAAAGGATTCACACAGCCCTCGTAAAGTCCACTGACAGCAAGTCTCGTCCCCTCTACAGGACTTGTGCACAGCCAAGAATCGAACTGAGCTTCCAGCATGCTTGTCGACATTGACATGTGGAAACTAAGACTGCGAGCTTCAAGGTCTTAGGTTAAGTCAAGGCCTGTAGCAGGGACAGTGCCAGCAGCATCACCGGAGTTTGGTGGGAGGATCCCGTTGCGAGGATCGTTGGTATCCACGCCTGCGGCGCGAGGTTCGAAACATAAAAATCTCGTTGGAGCAGCAGTAGGTGCTAGTGGCGGTACACAGGAAGAACAGTTTCAGTATGCGTAGGTCAACGGCTCCTGCATGCAAAGAGAACTAGTTATCATGCGTGCCGACAGGCATGAACCAGCATTAATGCAATCCTCAATTATGCAGTTTGATAACCACAGGGGCCAAAATAATTATACTGATTAGATGTTGCATGCTATATGTAGTACAGTAGTCTTGCCCTAGTTTGCACAAACCCAGGAACCCGAGGAACCCATGGAACGATACTCGCGCTTGTCTTTGTCTGACCCCTTCCCGCTTTTGCTAGACACTCTCGGGATACACGAAAGCACATTCCAGGAAATCCCGCTGAAATCATCACAGTCTTTTAACACCTTATTTGCAAAGGAGCAGTAGCAGAAGCAACCGCAAGAGCAGGAGCAAGAGCAACAGCAAGAGTAGGAGCAAGAGCAAGAGCAGGAGCAACAGCAAGAGCAGGAGCACGAGCAAGAGCGGCAGCGGGAGCAAATACCTCCCAAAAGAATGCACTATAGCTTCCGCCCGTGCAGTAAGAGATGCTGAACAAAGGATTGCAACTGAGAGGCACATTATCACATTGAGTGTCGAACAGACGGCTTGCGCCCACAGGGCAGCTTAAGGCTCAAGGGCCTTGAGGATCTCTGATCAAACCCTTTACTGACCCCTCAAACTCTGGACCCACTCAGTAAATAGCCAACCACAACCACCAGACCCTAGATTGCTAAATTTACCAAACCAACCCAACAGCTCGGGATGCCGACCCGCATGCACTGGGACGCGCAATGGCTGAAGAAAATGACGAGGCATAGCCAGGCCTGGGGTAGGTTCTAGGATTTGGGGCTTATTTTTCCCTCGGGCTTATAGGGTTTAGGGCTTGGGGTTTTGGATTTTCGATTCAGGTTCGAACTTGATGGGAATTCGACTCTCACGGAAATTGCGGGTATGGGATATAAGGCGTTTTGAAGATTTCACTCAGATGATCGAGGAGAGGCTTGGCGTGAGCGGTTTGCCCCATTCGCTTATAGACCAGGTCGCAACTGCGTGAAACACAGGGTTTCTGTTCTGTATAAAGTTGGAGGATTTTCGGGTTTTGACACTAATTTGTGAAAGTTTCAAGGCTCTGGGGTTTCAGGGTTTGTCGGGGCATACGGGTGAATAGACCTGGTGCGGTAAGCCATGGCTGCACGCGGTCACGCGGCTGAACGAAGACTTAGGTTTGAAAGACACGCAGACGCAAACTGTCTGAGATCTGCGGACGCGGATGAGCAGCTACAGAACAGCAGGTGCAGCAGGTGCTACATCAGAAGCCTGCGCAAGCACAAGTTGGGCCTGCAACGACGCTTACACCTCGGCAATCGCGCCCGCAACTCCCAACGGCCATTCTGAGTGTATAGAATATAGAACTTGCAACCAAAGCTGTGTTAATGAGCCACGCGGCAGTTATGGCTGCATCAGAATTCCCAAGGGACCTCAGCCCGGACTTGACCTCCTGGCAGCGCAGCATTTGCTTAGGTTGCGCAGAAGATCTCGGGTCCTTGACCTCGGAGGATGTCGTTAGGGACACTGAGTCTGGCCCCCAAGGCAGACACATCATCTCCTGTCGCGGGCAAGTTACTGCAAATACTGCTGCTCCCTCATGCCCTCTTTTCTCTCTCTCTCTCTCTCTCGCTCTGCTCGCTCTGCTCGCTCTGCTCGCTGCCTCCACACACTCACGGCTCTCTCTCCCGGCCATGCCGTTTCAATGTTCAGGTCCAAACCAAAATCTGCTGCGGATTGTGGGAAAGCATTCGTGAACATGAGGTTCTTGCGCCCCTAACTTGCCGCTTCAAGACTAAGGGCCACCGCGTTGAAAGTGCCACTAGACTTAACCTCTTGAGTTTGCCCTGCCTTGTCATACATCTCTGCCAAGGTGAGGAAGCCTGCACAGAATCTCAGGATTCCAGGTTTGGTCGGCTCGTCCAAACCAAATCATGCAACATTTTGCAGCCCATGCTCGAAGTGCGAGCATAAGCCATGCAATCGTCAGTTCTCTGCTCGTCCTAGCACCTCCTTCTCCTCCTCCTCCTCCTCCTCCTCCTCCTCCTCCTCCTCCTCATCCCCCCCTCGTCTCATCATCACCCGCATGCGCCATGATCACCGTCATCAGCGCAGCTCTATCGCTGCTAGTTGCTATGATACTCGTGCTCGATGCGTACATCAGATGCTGTTGAAACTGGTGTGAAACAACCCGCTCTATGTCAACACACTCACCAGTGATACCCGTGCTATAGTGTAGAAAGTTTGATAGGGTCATGGGCAGGCTAAAGTGTTACTTTGCATATTCTGGTTGTGCAACAGCAAGACTTGCTGACATTTGCTGACCCTAGATCAACACGGTCTGGACGGACAACTTATACAGTATACGGTTTACCTTCTCATGGACATTGTGTTTCCTACAGATGTTGGACCTATAGTACCTATAGTCTCCATTGTAGTTCCTCTTTGTGGTCTAACCAATTTTCTATTAAGCATCCTAAAAGGTAACCCCCCAAAAAAAGTACAATGGAGACTATAGGTAGCTCTTGCACCGGTTCATCTTGCCAAGCCCACCAGCCTTCTTCTCGACGGCCAGCCAAGTAAAGGTAACGCGGAGATTCTGGCATGACCTGGGAAGTTACCCACAGGCCCCAAAGTTTTTGGGGTTCATACTTATAATTCTATAAGGTAACCCCAAAAAGGAACTACTTTGGGGGCTTTGGGAAAAAACCACAAAACCCGAATCCCCAAACCGACGAATTATTGGTAATAGCCCGCTGGCCTAGTGTTCGATCCCGGAGACCGAAACGAAGGTCCGAAGAGCCTTTGATTTCACACCAAGCTGCGTCCAACCGACAAAGGACGTAGAGGACCACTGCCGGTGCCGACATCATGAACACGAAATCTTAGGACAGAAGCTTTCGCAAGATCGGCAAGGCTCGGCACTTCGCCAATGGCAAGCCATTCTCTGCGATAGAATTGTCATTCAGGCACTGCGCTGAGAATCTGAGATTGAGCCTTTCTTATAAGAATATATAAGAGTTACAGAGGCGCAAAGTATGTGCGAAACAGAACGGTGATGTGCAAACAACGCCATACATCAACTAATGCAATTCCGTCTCTATGTGTGTGTGTGTGTCTGTGTGTGTGGGTGTGTCTTTTCAAGTGAATACATGCGAGACATGCCATGTCTGACCTTGTTGAAGACGCAATGGGAAGTCAATGTGGCCTACGGTTTACGGTTTAGAGTTGAGGGATTCGGGTGAGCTTGTCGGCTTATCACTCGGTCTGGTCAAGCAGCTGGTCCAATCCAGTCTTGGCAATAAGCAGCTGAGGATGACGGCTAGCAGCGCACCCGCAGGCCTCAGCGCGGCATACCCTGCTGCTGTAAAAGCCGCCCTTACCGTGTATCGTGGCACTTCCTATCCCGATAGGTGACCATAGCTGTAGTTGAATGCACTGCTGACTGCAAGTCCTCGCCGCAGAAGCTTCAAGTAACCTGATCGCTCCACAGCAACGGACCAGGCCTTCCACAGCACCACACAGTCAGGTAGAAGCCACGGCGGCGCGCTGGAAGGAGCTCGGCAACTAGAGGTATGATAGCCTGACTTTGCAGTGCAGGCAGCAGATGAGATTCCATTTCGTGAACAAAAGACATGGAATAGACTTCGTAAGCGTCGCATGATGTCACACATGCTCATGCGCCCATAAAGGTCCAAGAACCGCAGAAGAGGCAAGGCCAAGACTTCTTTGCTATGCTCCCCGAACCCTAAGTGCCCATCAACAGCTGTCTGCTCCCCGTATGACCCAAGAGGCAGCCATCAATCCTCCCGAAGTTAGGCCTGAACAAGAGGCGTCAAGACACATTGCAGATGAGACCGTCGGCATCTTGCACATGTCTGTCTGTGATTGCGTTCGAGGAAAAGCTTTACGGAATCTCACAAGTTCCGCGATCCTAGTTCGACCATTGTTGCCATGGCAATGAGGTGTCGTCGTTCGCATGTTATGCGTCAGCGCCTCCCATCCAAAAGATGAGTACCCAGAAGCCTTAAGTTCATCTTAAACCTTACTAACCCCTAAACGTGACGAACATGGGAATGGGAGCCAAAAATCCGTGCGGATCTCTCTCCACGCTGCCACAAGGAAGTGTATCTTGCGGCCCTCTTCATGTTCTGCTTATCACAATCTGCACTTCCCATGATTGTACCCGGCCTAGGAGGAAGCGCGAGCACAGGGTCTGTCCCAGTGTCCTGCAGGTCTTCATTACACAGCGGCGTGGCCCGGCACTGGATGTTCCGAGGTGGGGGGTGCCCTGCGAAACCAACAAGCGCTGCAGAAGGATGGCGGACAGGAGACTGCACAAACATGTTAAGTGGCGTCATGACTACGCAGAGGGTGTAAAGACACAAGCAAAACATTTATGTATGTATATATATATACACACATACAGATAGATCCGAATGTGGGTACATATATGTATGTATATGTACATGCAAAGATGCAGATGCACACGAAACCATGTGTACATATATATATATATATATATTTATGTGTGTGTGTGTGTGCGTGTGTGTGTGTGTGTGTGCATCTGTATACACACACGCTGGTTGTGATATGAGTGTGTCTGCATAAGCAGCTGTCTGTCTACCTTCTTGTGTAGGCCGGCGTCCTCGATGACTGGACCAACAACCCACAGCTCACCGTCGACAGCGTGAGGAAGCGAATCACGACATTTCGGCCGCTCTTGTCCTTACCAAAACTTCTCTCTAACACATTAGCGGCCGTAGCGGGCCCTATATGGCTCTTACATCACCATCATATTGGAAGCATGAAAACGGATGTTTTGGCAATTTCCAGAAGGAGACAGCACGATCATTTGACACCTCATGCCAAGAAACATGGGACCACGGCGAGCAAGTAAAGTGTGCGACCCGCACAAGCCCCATGCCCAAACATGATAGAAATCTCTGTCTTTGAGAACTTTTAAGGCAGTGTTCCCTGCTATTTTAAGCCGGCGAGAACGAGAAGTACCCACCTCGTAACATGCCCTAAGATGATAGGTATCTTTGTCTCCGAACACTCTGAACACTCTTGAGGCTGTTCTCACTGCTGTTAGACTGTCGCATAAAGGCTTGAGGATGACTCATAAGCCAAACCTTGAATCCAATACCCGTCGAGCGAGCGGCTTTCTTAGCTAGGCCATGCTGCGGCAAACCATCCAGCTAGCAGAGTCGAGATGGCATTGCCGACGCCCATTGCTGCCAATACAGCCTGCACATTCAGCTCATTGTAGGCCCAATCCTCGGCGCTTTTTGCACGAATGTGGAGGGTGCTCTGAGACAACAACTGTTGACAAAGTGGGGTTGGGCGCGTGTTTGGGACATTGTAGCCTGCGTTCTTTTGCATCAGAGCACACTCTGACTCTCATAGGCCAACCTTAAACCTGAGCCACAACCACAACACCGGCAACCCTGCAAAGCTGCTTCCCAGCCGAAGGGCCGTGTTAAGCAGTCCAAGAGCAAAGGGCGTCGGCCTCGCACGCCGAACAAACTGTTGAACCCACTCTTGTTCTGCTATGTGCTATCATTCCACAACATATTGTATTTCCCAAAGCATCACTTACACAGTATACATTATAGACTCTCTCTATATACGCACTCACATTTACATGTATATATTTCGAATGCATATGCACATCTATGTATCCGTACATATATATATATATACATATATATATATATACATATTATATATATATATATATATATATGGTCAGGCATCTGGCGTTCCCAGCTGGGGGGGGCCTGGCGTGTGCGGAAAGGCGTTGGGGCCGTTGGAGCTGCCACTGGAGGGTGGGGTGGTGCTGGCGGCCAGGGCTCACGCGCAAGCAAGCCGTAAACCCTACATCGCAGCGCGTGGCCCTGTTTTGAGCAACCTTAACTTATACTTAAAACGCTACACCCAACCCTAGACCCCACCTAACTGCAGGCTCTAAGCCTAAAGCAGAGCATACACTGCAAATCCTCCCTAAGCCCTTGTCGACTCGAAGCCTTATATAGCTTAAGCTGAACCCTTTTTGCATCCAGGCCTCCTGTGGTGTTAAGCTGAACCCTAAACCCCAAAACCCCACAACCCCCCCACAGGGGGAAGAGGAACCCCACACCGGGGAGGGGGGGGGGGGGTACACCCTATATCCGGACCATTGACCTTTGGCGGGGAGGGGGGTGGGGGGCTGCGGAGCGCGTGACCATATATGTGTATAGATGCCTGTGTGTAGCTGTGTATATACATGCGTACATACGTAAACGTGTATGTACATCCTATATATGTATAATGCATATGTAGATCCGCTTGTGTGTGCGCTACATAATCGAGACACGGTGTACACACTCCTTATGCTTTCTTGGTTTGCTCCACTTAACATATCATATCATACTGCCTTGTACTATGTTATGTCCTACTGTAACGAGTTCGTACTAAGTTACCATGTTTAGTAGTGTATCATGACAGTTTGCATTACGCTGCATTTAGTGACTTTTGTTTTGTATGTTATGTTGTGATTCAGGGTCGAAGATTATACCAGTCAGTGTTGTGTTTCAGTATGTACCATGTGGGCATCGCGTGCTTTTTTTATGTTGGTTGTGAATGTTTAGGAATACACGTATGCTTATAGGCATGCTTTAAAGGCATACCATACTCTACCAGTCGACCATATTATATTGTATATATTGCGACGGATGCTCTCCTATTATCCTGTCTCAAACCAAACTGTACAAACAAGAATAGAATAGCATGTTTTTTACAGTCTCGTATTATAGACCGTTGTATGTCTTGCCTGAAGCCTTCTAAGTCTTCCGACGAGTGACGCCAGGACCCCCCGGCCCAGGGCATGTTGGGGACGGGTTTAGGGTTTTTCGTTTAGGATGTGGGGTTTGGGGTTTAGGGTTGCGGGTTTAGCACTCCCGTAATCCAGATTTCTATATCCTAAACCTCTCGGGCCAGAAGCAAATAAGTTAAACCCTACACCCTGCAACCCAGAGTTCTGCCGGGCTCGGGGCTCGTTGAGCGCGCCCAGCCAAAAGGAAGCCAGGAAGGCACAAAGCAGCAACTCCCAAACCTGGAGTATAGTACAGATATGTCTAGATCGTCTCGCAAGCAACGTGTGGAATATAATATGTTTCGAAACATTGGAATACGACATAGTATGAGGAAGGTCACTGTCGAGAAAACCACCTTGTCGGTAACTGGGCTTCTAGGCTTCAGCCGGGAAATGTCGAGGGCATCGCGTTCTGCATGCCCCACTTTGGCCGGTATGCTACAACTTCATCTCCGAAATTTGCCGAGCCAATTTTTGGTGCTGAAGCCAGTGTTCTGGTGTTGTGGTTTCTGTGCGTCGCTCACCGTCACGCACAGGAAAGTGCAAGTCGGTTTATGTTGTTGAGGGAGGGGCCATGGACATGCCTGTTCCGCATCGCCACAAACCTCGTAGATGACAGAGCAATGCATCAACGTCCCAGGCCCTGGCTGCGAAACCCAAACCACTTTTGTGGCAGGCACGGCAAGACAACTGACACCTGGAAAACAAAGGCCCAGGATTTTGCCAGGAAGCGAACACACCGATTGGAAGGCCCTCGATGCACTGGCCCACGGTGACGTGCCCGTCAGACATGGTCACGTCCTGGAGGTCCTCTGCACGGTGCTGCAAAGTGGCTAACTTTTCCTGGGCCAGTATCCGGCATCATCATGCCTTGCGGAACCCTGCAGCAGTTGCCGCTGTAGCCCCCAAACCCACACCGTCGAAATGAGCGTGCACCCAGTTGCTGTGTTGTAGCAGTTGTGTCGCGCAAGTTTTCGGGCGCAGCACCCTAAACCCAAAACCCTAAACCGTGTGTTGTCTACTTGCAGAGAGTTCGAAGAGCAAAAACAGAGCCGGTGAGGCAGGCTGCTCTTCCTACCGTAAGGCCCCATAGTAGTTCCTTTTTGGGGTTCGTATCATCTAATCGCGACTGCTTAGCAGGACAACACCCCTTCCTTTAAGCGGCCGGTTGGAGCCACATAAAAAATCCAAGGATGTCGGTGCATCTGAGTGTCAATCCGGCTCCTCCGTTTCCACCAAAGCTTTGCTGAATTGGATAAGAGTTCGCTCTCCTTATTGCGACGGGCACTAAGGGGCTCCTGATTATTATGATAGTATGATAGGCCGCAAAACCCTATTCTACTTGATTTATCAAACTGATTATCGTTATAGTCTTATCGGCCCCAAGAACCCTATTCGAATTGATTTATCAAACTGATTATCAATATAGAATTATAGGCCCCAAAACCTTATTCTAATTGATGTAGCGAATAGAACTGTCATCTTGCTGAACCGAGCCCCAACTTACCGGAAAGGGCAGCGCATGATGTACGGCTTTGCATGACAGCAGCTGCTTTACGGATGTCTGAAAATCCAAGCATCAGATGGAGAACACTCCAGGCAGCATGAACAAAGTCCACACAGCGCGGGAGGAGGGAGGGGGTCGAAAGGCCTCGACCCTGCTGAATCGGAGCCAAGAGGAGCCGAGAAGTCATCACAAGGTGCAAAACCTACATGGACACTGCAACTATTGAACCCTTATAATAGCCTTTGCAGTATTTCGCCAGAGATGCCGCAAACTCGACAAGTTCAGATCCCACTGATATATGTAGCATCCCAGGCCCTCAACAAGTCCAAAGGAGGTATCCTGGTTATGCATCCAACGTATGCATTGTTGAATGCAAACACGCCAAGGGTCTCGGCACCTAAGCACAAGACACGGAAGCCACTTCTGAGTGGTAACCATACTTTTTTCTCCAAATCCCGCGATAGGATGAACGTCAGAAGTGCTGACCTGGCGCAGAAAGAAGATTAGATGCAAGGACAAATAAAAAATACATATATACGTATATATATATATATATATACATAAGGTTCTATACTCTACACCCAGAACTTAGCGTGTGAAACCCAGGATACTTGCCGTTATAAGACTTGTCACCTCGCCTCGCTACAGGCTCGTTCTGCAGTTCTGAGCATCCAGTCGCTCGGCCAAGCATTCGTGCAAGGTGGGAGCTGCACAAAGTAAGCAACCCGAATGGGTTTAGGGTTTAGGGGCGGTTTAGGGTTTAGGGTTGAAAAAAACAACAAAAAAGAATTGACCCTTGCTATGAGAATCCTGGAATTGCAGAAGCCCCACATGCCAGCTAGATAGAGGGTGCCTGTAGAGAAAAACATGAGCATCCTGAAAAGCTTAGACACATGCAGGATGACCAACCTCGATGAAGCATTCCTCACAGCAAAACCAACATTGATTTCATAAACACACACCCTTACATAAGCCATGTAAATATAGTATAAACACATATATATACATATATATATATATGAACTTTAAAAATCCGAAAATAAGATCTCCAGAGCAGAAGAAGCACAGAACCCCTAAACCCTAAGCACATCACCTGCTTCCGCTCAGCCCCAGAACCCGGTCTGCGGGATGCCCGGGATGGGGACCTCCACACTTCGGGTCTTCGGGGTTCCAGCTTCAGGATTTTCGGGTTCGGTTTAGTGTTTAGGGTTTAGGCGGTTTAGGGGTTTAGGGTTTAGGGGTTTAGAGGTTTAGGGTTTAGGCGTTGTTTTCCCTCCTAGGATTTAGAGGTTTAGGGTTTAGGGTTTGGGACTAGGGTTTGAGGCTTCGGCCTTCGGCGTGCTTGAAGGGTCGGGTGTTGCGGAACCAAAACGCCGATATGAGAACCCACCCGGTTAAATCCTCCGGATTCTCGAAGCATTCTCGCTCCAAGGCCTCTTCGAGGTGTTTTGACAGTGCCGCGCAGCATACAATACAATGACAAAAAACATGTATACAGTCGCACCACCCTGCACATTGCCCGGAACTCCAAGCCCCTAGGCTTGGAAGCTAGGCGTCGATTTCAACAGTCTCCAAAAGCATCTTATATAATTAGGCTCTATGTTGAACAATAAGGGACTTCAAAATCATCCCAAATCGGTACCGAAGCAAGGATTACACGTGCTTCCACCTAGACACATCAGTACCGGTGCCGGGTTGACCAGGTGTGTACGGTAGTACTATGTCGGGCTTATAACAATTTGAACAAGATTTGGGGGCAAATATTTTTGCATATTTACGACGAGCAGATGTTTCAAAATCGTATTGGTACTTGTTAGGACCCTATACTGACCGTGGCACATACATGGGCAAGTGCGGAATGTGATGCAGATCTCAACTCATCAGGAAGCTTAGGGGAAGCTCTATCAGAGCGTGCCAGAAACAACCGTGCACTGGAAAAACAGCTATAAATGGTCAAGAATCCAGGAAATCAAGACTATGCAGCAGCCGGCTGGCACCTGAAAGTGCGGGGGGTAGCTGAAGCCCTGCGCGCACAAAGCAAGCGAAGCATGCTTTGCCAGAGCAGAGATCCGACAGCGAAGCTGACAAGTGGTCGACGGCTCTGGTGCGGTCAGCCACTAAATTACTAAAGTGTGACGACTGCAGATCGAGCTGTCACAGCCATCAGGCTGAATCAGAGCGCTGTTTCCAACCTGGGTAAGCGTTGCAACAGACCTCCTCATGCATGTCAACGTGCTGAGACTTGCGTCTGCAGCCGGTATGGGTTTCACTATCAGGTGTGCGTGCGAGATGCTTCCGTCACCGTCCATTTGTGTCCCAGCCGCCGGGGTACCGATTCCAGAAAGCCCCAAGTCCCCAAGTCCCAGCCAACAAAAAGCGAATATCTGGCACGACGTCACAGTGTTATGGAGCACTGCCAGCCTGCACCGTAGGTGGTACCACGGCTGGCGCGTTGATCGAAGAACCCTGGCGATGGCTTCGACATCAGAGGTTGGAGCGGGTTCTCAGGTTTGTGTTGCATCTATACCTCAGTGACACGAAGATCGTGAATCTAACCCTGGGCAAGCCATGTACTGACCAAACACCCCAAAGGCAACAGGTGGCTCTGCAAAACAATCTGAAGAAACTACGGCACGCACAGAAAAATTCACCTTTGCTCGTGACGGCATGATCAACAAAGGAATCCATTCATGTCAGTGGCTGCAGTCAACCCTATGCAGAAGTACGATGTAGATACAGATCGGCAACACGAGCTGCTTGTGGTGAGCTGATTCCAGACAGTACAGTTCCCGACACCACCGGAGTCAGCTTCGACTCTCACCGAGCAGCCTTAAGATCTACTTTCGACTCCCGGTTTGTACATACCCCGCAGTGGTTGGGGTTTAGGGTTTAGGGTTTAGGTAAACCCTATAAACCCTAAACCGTGCTGATGCGCAGCCGGTGGCCTTGCCGCGACCTTTGTTCTTCACTTTCGGGGGCTCGTTGAACTTGCCTCAAATCGAGCACAGTCGCTTGGGCGCCGCAGAAGCTCTGCGAAGGTGAAACAGCATCCATGTAGTGAGAAATGAGTCATAGTTCTACTACCGTGGGGGTTCCTGATTGTAATTAGGGTATAATGGGCACCAAAACCTTATTCTAATTATTAAGGCCCCTGTATATAATGGCACTGAGGGTCCACATGGCATTGTGTGACAATTTGCAGAACACTTTTCGGCTTGTCGGCGCTGCAAAGGCGACATTCTAGCGACTTTCTTGGTTTCCGTTCCTGAACCTATAGTCCTAGGGATTGTCTTCTCTTCGTAAGTAAGGCTTGGTCGCATTTGGAAAAGCACTCCTTTGAAGGCGTTGACACGCAGTCCTAGATTCCGCTTGTGATCACCCTGGCTATATGCTGGTAACAGTAAGTGTATGTGTGTGTGTGTGTGTGTGTGTGTGTGTGTGTGCGCGCGGGTGTGTGTGTGTGTGTGTTTGTTCTGTTGATGCCTTTTTTTGCTGTTGTTGCGAGGGTCTGTTTTGCGGTTGGCGCTGTGGAGGGACGGGTCTTCTTGCTGTTTGTGCTGAGGGGTGTTTGTCTTCTTGCTGTTGGGGCCCCAACTGGCCGTTCACTCACTTGCTGGTTTCAGCTGCAGAGCAGAACAGCAAGAAAGAACAAACACCAAATTATTTTACTTCGAACATCCCCACCCTAGCGCCTTGTCCTTCCTACACGCAAATCCTATAGGACCCAAAGTTGGGATTGTGCACTCCAGGAATTCTCACGGTAGTCTGTCGGGTTGTGCACTTCCCGGGATTCTCACGGTAGTCTGATTCTCACGGGAGGGGCACTCCAGGGATTCTCACGGTAGTCTGTGGGGTTGTGCACTTCCCGGGATTCTCACGGTAGTCTGATTCTCACGGGTGTTTATGGGGTTGGGCACTCCAGGGATTCTCACGGTAGTCTGTGGTGTTGTGCACTTCCCGGGATTTTCACGGTAGTCTGCAATTCTCACGGGAGTTTATGGGGTTGGGCACTCCAGGGATTCTCACGGTAGTCTGTGGGGTTGGGCACTCCCGGATTCTCACGGTAGTCTGATTCTCAGGAGAGTTTATGGGGTTGGGCACTCCAGGGATTCTCACGGTAGTCTGTGGGCTTGGGCACTCCAGGGATTCTCACGGTAGTCTGTGGGCTTGGGCACTCCAGGGATTCTCACGATATTCTCACGCTATTCTCACGGTGGTCTGTTTTGGGTACTCTAGGAGGTAATCTCAGCGGGCGAGGAGTAATGACTGACCTTAAAATCTAACAACCCCACACAAAGGTGGGTAAAAAACACAGCCGTTCAGGGTAACAGTGTTTGTTGCTTATACTTTTGGTGCAATTTTGCTGTTGGTGCGGCGAACACCCGTTCGGGCAATATGCTTCATCCCCTTGAGCTGAGTGCATTCGCGACCCTAAAAACCAGAACATATCCAAGAAAGCATGCACACCATAAGGACTGAACAAGCATCGGCAATCATGCAACAGTCAGCCGCTGAGGTTCCAGGCTCATAAGGAAAGCATCCTTTTTGATCGCAGCTAATGCCACGCCAGCAGTGCTTTGCTCTGCTTCCGCCTTTTTCTTGCAAACCTGGCCAGAGACAAGAGGAAACAAAGAGACTGATAGAAAGAACCAACGAAGGACAGACCCACAAACAGAAACAAAGGTAGTAGTAGCAGTAGCAGCAGTAGTTTTAGTGGCGGTGGTCATAGGTTGTTGCAACAAATCATGCTAACAACCCCAGGCCTACCCCCCTCCCGAGCACCCCTGCCACCCTCACAGTGGCAGGCCGTAGCGTTGATACAGTGGCATATGCAATGACTTCAGCGCTGGCGAGTACAGCACCTGCACGTGCACATGAGCATGGACAGCAACGGGACAGCAACAGCCACAACCATCACCAGCACCTTCGGCCCAACCCGTCGAGCAGCTATCGGGCTGCGAGCTTGGCAGGATCATCAAACCACTGCATTGATAGCTCCGAACGTGATAGTGCAGAGTGACCGAACCAACGCCTGTCCAACAAAGGTCCTGCTGCTCCAAACGCCCGGAAGGCAGTTCAACCTGCATCCACCGGACGCTGCGACAGCCAAGCACACAAGATGGCATGCAGTGATCACTTTGATAACACAACCATTCGACGCTACTTACTCTAATAACTCTCTCTCTCTCTCTGAATGTATTTGTGTATCTCCGTCAGACTCTACTCACAGTACTATCCCCAAGCCGTGTTTCGGTTGAAGCACGGAAAGCCTTTTCATAAGGCTCGTGGACTTAAGCAAGCAGTCACACGAAACGCGGCTCAAGGACAAGGGCTGTCATTTCCGACAGCTCTTGGTCCCGATTGATCTCCGTGCCGAAGTCTCTTCCTACGGCTGCACGTCCGCCATTTTCCGGGGTACGTGCGGAAAAGAAGTGGAATCCTTCTAGAAACTACGATTGGTTAGAAAAGTAGCAGCTACTCAGCTACTACTCAAGCCGCCTTTTTCGAATGCTTGTGAACAAGTCGGTCGCAACCGAACATGGACACCGTACTGCACACATGCCGGGCCTCAGAATAGCTTGGAATCCGCCTTCGTCAACTTCTTTTGTTTCGAAGCATATGTCCTTTGGCAACACGACGTGTTTGCACAACTGGCGCGAGCATGAGAAGCACAAAACATGTCCAGCGAATTCATGATGGTGTCTAGGCCACTTCAGTTGCTGGCCGAGATGCAGTCTTCTCCATGATTTTCCTCTCGTTGGCTTGCGGAAGTTATGGTTCGGGTATGCTTGGGCATTGCGAGCACATACTGGTAGCGCATGCAATTTTAGCTGTGGAAACTGCTGCAGACACAAGCTGGAATCGGAGACCATGGACGAATGCCACATCGCTGCAAGTCCTCGCGATCCTCGCGCAATGAGTGGAAAGCTCCATTTTGTTGGTTGCAACCACGTCGGCTGACTGCTGCGGGACCCAACCAGGCATTCCGAGCCTAAGCCGACGGGCGATGTTGATGGCTTGGTTTCTGCAGTTGCTGCCAAAAACCATTTTAAAAAAAGAGGACAACGACTTCCGGAGTGCTCAGTTGTGCATCAGCCTATATGTAATACATCCGGACCAAACAAAGGATTCTTCAGCAGCCAGCGCCTTGAATTTCCGATGCCTCGATAAACCAAATTCGAGTGACTTCTTACTCAGCCATGTGGCACTCCCGGCTCCAGGCGTATCTTCTTGGCTAGGGCCGGTTGGGCAGCTGTGGGCGGAGCCACCGCCTTCCTCTTCTTCACAGCCTGGCGGCACAGAACATGGATGTATACATACTTACATGTATGTATATATATATATATATGTATATACATTTGTAGACACATGTTTATGTTGGTGTTTAAATAGAACATTGCGGGCTTGCCAAGGACTCCCACTGCCTATGTTATGATGGAGTACGTCAAGTACGTCCAACTTATTCACGACGTGTCATGACTCCCTGCATAATAGGACCGTGCCACAAGTCGTCATGGCCCAAACAGTGCAGGACTGCAAATACAAGCCAAAGACACCACGTCAATCAGGAGCGTAGCTTGTGCCTGCAAAATGACATGTCATTCGATGCAGACCAAGCACAAAGATTGAACTCGTGCAAGCCGACGCCTTGTAGACCAGCATCGCTTGGGCTGCAGCGGCTTCTTCTGCCTGCACATATCGCCACGACACGTACAAACACACCCCGGCATGGGCTCCGAAATCCCGCATGGATTCGTTGCCTCGTGCTGTGCCTGCTGTGTCTGTGATGATTGCTGCAAATGATAAAATATACCCAGTACACTGTATACACATATACGTATTAAATATACATCGACACATATACATATGTAGAACCACAATGACAACTTTTTTATGGCTTCGTGAAAATATGTAAGTACGTACTTGTATCAATATACGCACATACACTATGTACGAGAACATATATGTATACATATACATATATATACATATATATATATATATATATATATATATATTTATTTATACATATATTGTTATTATTATGTATGTCTATATATATATATATATATATATATATATATGTATCAACATGCATTCAATATATTGTGCCAAGGACCACTGCTACGACAGAACCGGTGAAGTTCTTTGGCGATCAAATGTGAGCAACAAAGTAGGATCGGGACAAAGCTGCACAGACTGACAGCCTGTTAAACTTGCAGTGTTCGTCATCGATGCCCCTCCAAGCGGACGGGTGTCCTTGACTTTGTCTTGACGTATTTCGCCCGCAAATTCTTGCCCATCGAGACAGCACATCCGTACCTGAATTGTTTGGGGGGTCATGTCTTCGATACCCCTTGGAGGTTCAGTGGCTCTTGAGGGGCAATGAAAGTGCCAGATCACGCTGTAAATTCAGCCGCTCGCATCAAAGTCTGATGGGAGGCCAAAAGGGGGTTTAAGATTTTTGGGGTAGGAATTCCTTAATATGAACCCTATTATGGGAACCCTAATCCGTACTAAACCCCATAGGCTAAAACCCCTCTTGGCCTCCTATGAAAGTCTGAGGCTGGTGCGACCGATTGGAAACCTTGCGCGTACTGGTCGCTCATGTACACAATGTCCTGGCCATGACCCAAGTGGTGCCATGCCGCATGCTTCTAACACACGACGTACGAGAGTACATAATTGACATAACCCTGCACGTTGCTGTCGAAGCGCTTGCGGTGCAATGGCGCGGCTCAGTTTGGTTGCGCAGAAATAGCTCAGCCTTGGCCATAGGATGCAAGTGGCACGGTCTCTTGATGCTTCCGCAAACGCACGCGAGGTGACTTGGTGTCGCCAAGGTGCTGTTCTTTCGGGCCCAGCTTGAAGAAATCCTGGCAGCAGACCACGGCATTGAGTACATCTAGCGAAAATGCCAGACAAACGTGAAGAACCACAGGAAAAACAACATCGCCAGGCCTCCCTCTGTGTGAGCTGCTGGTTCGAAACGGGTCCCAGGACGGATGATGCATTTTCGATTCGCCCCACTGGGAGAGCCATGCCCGCTAGCCCAGCCACATCCAAATGCGTTACACAAGCAGACCCGCGCAGTCGTACACAAGAACTCGTCCAAAAAATGGTTGTTGTTGGATGAATCGAATCCTCAAACAATTCTGTAGATAGAGATTTTGCCAATTCAGTTTGCGATCACCATCCGAATGAAAGGGGCGTCGATCTACCTGCCTTCAGTTGCATGCAACAACTTTTTCGAGCCAATGACCTCAAGATGGACAGATGCGTGCACAAACAAATAGACAGATACAAAAACAAATGAAGGCAAGGAAAGAACAAACACAAAGAAAACGAGGCGGAGACAAACACAAACCGATGGAGAACAACAAAGAAAACACATTTACATCTACATCTACGTCTGTACGTACGTATACACGTATACATAAACAATATACATCTACTTATAAACATACACAAAAACAGCAATATAAAACAATCAATCTATGTATCTATGTATCTATATATCTATCTATATATATATATATATATATCTCCCCCCCCCCACCCCATTCTTGGGGCGTCGGGCGCACGAAACTCTGTAATGCTCGGAAAATTGAAAGTATTCTGGCATCTATGGCCAGGCCGAAGGAAAATTCCTTTCTCGATTTTGGAATTTTTGAGCGTTGCAGTGTTTCGCGGGTGTTGAAATAGGGAAAAGTTGCCGTTGTTCACCCACCACGATGTATTGAAGCCACCTCCTTATCCTCCTTCACGTCCTGAGGAAACGATCCCGGTTCCTGTTCCCATTGATGTGGTTTAGACGCTGTCTTCGTTTGCATCACAACATGAAAAGCAGCTTTCTTCATTTCCTCTCGAACAGCAAGTGTTTGTATTTCTCTTGTTTGCTAGGTACGAGGCTGGCCCAAATTTCGTTTACTTCGTCTTGTGTCCTCACAGACAAATACAGTAGCGCTTGCTATGTACATGGCTGCTTATGGTAATTGCCATAGACCGTGTCACAAGATACAAAAACAGCTTTCTCCACAAACTGCCATTTTACTGTGTTTTACAAGGTGCAGGAGCACCTACCTTCTGATTGGTCCATATCATGACAGCTGGCCGTATTTAGTCTTCTTCATGTTTGGAAAATTGAAAAGCTATCTAATTTCCTGTTGCCGAGGAGCCTCCTTGTGTGCCCTCATGCCCAGATGAAGGATTGAAATCGAAAGGTTGCCCATTTCGTTTGAAACAAAGAACAGCTGTTGCAGTAGGGGTTCAAAAAGCAAAGCGTTCGTGCAGTCGGCTTCCTTTACGCATAATGGAAGGGAAATGAAAAAACTCTCTCCCCCTCTGTCTCTCTTCGACCGGCCAGGCCTTTTTTAAAACGAAAACCGAAGCTTTCTAGTCTTTCGTGAACGAACATAACACGCACTCCCGCATCCCATATACATATGCATGGGAATAGCCAAAGGCATTAACATACTCCCACACCTACGCATGCACCTATCGGTGGGTAAGCAAATAAGCACATGAACAAACACACGAGCGGCCAGATCGGCCATACCGGCATAAGCAAATGCCAAGCAATGATCTTCGCGCAAGAGCAATGTTTTAGATACATAAACCCGTGGCAAAATAAGCTGCGACCGCGGCTGCAACCGCTTTCGCTCGGCAGCTCGAAAAGTCCGATGCCAAAAAACAAAAAGTGGCAAATGCTTGGCGCCCAGCTCCGGGCGCTAAAGGAAATGCTGTGCGACGCAGTCCTGCCTGGTGCAGGCCGCCTCGGCCCGTATGGTACTTTCGGCAGTGACCTACAAGTAGCCGCTTCCATCAAGCACAATCATCCAAACTTGCGCACCAACGAAAGTTAACTTAAGAAACGCAACACAAAATTCGGAGCTGCCGCGGCGGCCCTGAACAAGCCAAACTCCTCCCGGGCCCCCCGTAGTCTGCAGCCCTGTGCAACGGTACTTTTTTTTTCCACAGCCGAGGTTCGGGAAGTCCGGTCCCAGTGCACACGACGCGCTACCTAATGCGGCCGGCTCCATCGGTGGCGGCCGAGGGGGAGCCTACAAGGGACCGCTTTGACTTCCGGAAAAATGGTGCGTGACCAGAAAACAACGAGGAAGCGGAGATTGCTGCTTTCGTAGACACATTTTTCCAACAGCACAACAAATAGCAGGACTGGTAAGGAGAACACATGCCAAACATGGGCACGAATCAACGCGCATGGGATGAAATATAACCCAATCATTCGCAAATGCAGCTTCAATGCAAAATTTCTCTCACATGTGAAAAATTGGAACGTAAGTGAAATGCACCAGTGCGGGTCATTAATTGCTACTGTTTCCCCTGTTGAGGAGCGAACCGTTTCGGTGTGGGCAAGCGATCGCGTGGTCGCCAAGTTGGTCGACATGAACCCCAAGCTTGCCTCTGCCAACACAGATCACGAACGATACCAACGGCATGCACAATCGGCGCCGGAGCACAGGCCGCATGACCCGTGGTGCGAACGTCGTGGAATTCGTGGATGGTTCGGCGGGTATGGCTGAAAGATGCTGAAAGCTTCCACCCCGACATGAAGCCTTGCTTGGGTATGCACGATCGCCCGAACCATTGGTCATAGAGTGGTCATAGCATGCTACAATGCATGACGCTGGATGGATTTTTTTTTTTTAGCGCACCCTTTCTCCGCAGCAGTGTACGAAGCTGCGTGCAATAACTGCCTCTACCGGCGGGACCCCGCGCAGTCGGCATCAGGCCGTCAGCGCGCCTCAGCGAGGAGTTCATGCAGCTCCGGCTCCGGCCAGCCCTCCAGGTCACCGGCGGAAGGCAATTCAAGCAGGGAGGTGGCCAGGGCTCGCTGCGCCGCGACAGCGAGGAGGCCAAAGCAACACGCAACCCAGGCAGTGATCGCGGCAGCACCGTCGCTTACGCAAAGAAATTCGCGTCGCTTGCGCAAAGATTTGCCAAGTCGCTTGCGCAAAGTGATGGGTCTCGAATCCATTGTAAAAACCATAGGAAAGTGCACTTCGGTCTTTTTCGGAAATGGCTTCAACAAGCATGGAAAAGTGTCGAACCCATTGTAAATATTATAAAAACAATAGAAATGTCCACTTTGCTAGTTATCGGATTTGCGCGCCAAAGTGCCGAATCCATTGTAAAAACCATAGGAAAGTGCACTTGCCAAGTTGGCAAGTGCTGGCCGAAAAGTGCGTTTTGAGCTGTTTTAGGAAACATCTGAAAACCATCGAAAATGCACATCCTGGGGGGGTGGGGCTGGGGGGGCGGGGTGGGCAGGTGGGGTTGGAGCTGGCTCGAAAAGCACGTTTTGGTTGGTCTTGGGGGGGGTGGGGTGGGGGGGCGGGGTCGGGGCTAAGAACGTACGTGTTTGGCGCCAGTCTCCTTGAAACCATGGAAAACGCACCCTCGGAGGTCGAAACGCACGTTCCGGTTCGTCCTGGGGGGGCGGGTGGGGGGTGGGGGGTGGGGGGTTGGGGTGGGGAGTTAATAACGTCCGTGTTTGACGTGTGCAGCAAGAGTCGTTGGCACCAGCACGTCTTGTTGGTCCCAGGGGGGGCGGGTTGGGGGGTGGGGGGTGGGGTGGGGGGCTAGTAACGTCCGTGGCTAATAACCTCCGTGTTTGACGCGTGCGGGGATAATAACGTCCGTGTTTGATGCGTGCAGCAAGAGAAGTCTCGTTGGCACCAGTCGGTCCCAAGGGGGGGCGGGTGGGGGCTGGGGTGGGGGGCTAATAAAGTCCGTGTTTGACGCGCGCAGCAAGAGAAGTCTTGTTGCACCAGCGCGTTCTGGGGGGCTAATATCGTCCGTGTTTGACGCGTGCGGGGATAATAACGTCCGTGTTTGCCGCGTGCAGCAAGAGAAGTCTGGTTGGCTGGGGTGCGGGCTAATAACGTCCGCGTTTGAACGCACTCTTGAAGGCTCGAAACGCACGTTCCGGCTCGTCTTGGGGGGGTGGGGGGTGGGGGGTGGGGGGTGGGGTGGGGAGCTAATAACGTCCGTGTTTGACGTGTGCAGCAAGAGTCGTTGGCACCAACACGTTCTTGTTGGTCCCAGAGAGGGCGGGTGGGGGGGTGGGGGGTGGGGTGGGGGGCTGATAACGTCCGTGTTTGACGCGCGCAGCAAAAGAAGTCTCGTTGGCACCAGCACGTTCTTGTTGGTCCTAGGGGGGGCGGGTGGGGGGTGGGGTGGGGTGGGGGGCTAATAACGTCCGTGTTTGACGCGTGCAGCAAGAGAAGTCTCGTTGGCACCAGCACGTTCTTGTTGGTCTTAGGGGGGGTGGGTGGTGGGGTGGGGGGCTAATAACGTCCGTGTTTGACGCGTGCGGTGCCCGGCGAGCGACGAGAAGCGAAGCTCCCGCGAAAGACGACAGCGGGGAAGTGGAGCAGCTTGTTGGCACATCAGCATTAAACACTTTTGGTTCAGGCACATGGAAGGAAACCTCCAAACCTTCGGCAAACTTGCCTTAGCCTGCCCTAAAGGCTTCGTTCAGACTCAAACCTGAAACTGAGACACCAAGAGGACTTCGGCTAAAACCTGAACTCAACGTAAAGGCTGCTGCCTTTCGCCCCGGATGGCTCGCTCGTGCATGGGGCCACATCAAAAAGCTCTGCTTGGCCTGGCTAGTAGCCGAAACCTCGCATTGGAGACGCATCAATAATTCCTCCCGCCGCGCACGAACTGTGGGGGGTCCAAAATGTACTTTTGCGGCCTCCAAAAGCACGTTTTGGACCACTTGCAGCGAAAGACCTTTGGAGCCAGGGAAAGCAAGGCAACCGCTGCTTTCGCCCGGATGGCTCGCTCGTGCGTGGTCCCACATGAACAAGCTCTGCTTGGCCTGGCTATAGTAGCCGAAACCTCGCGTTGGAGACGCAACACTAATACCTCCCGCAAAGCACAAACTCTGGACGGACCGTCAAAATGTACTTTTGCAGCCTCCAAAAGCACATTTTGGATCGTCTGCAGCGAAAGACGCTCGGAGGCGAGGAAAACAACGCAATCGCTGCTTTCGTCCCGATGGCTCGCTC